ACCGATTGAGGAAACTGGGTTTAAAAACTTCATGAACTTCCAAGTTTGGGGGAGGGGGGAGAAACGAAACGAAAGCACAGGCCCGCTGGAGTGGCATCTCTTGAATCTAATTAGCAGGGCGGTTGGCATCACCATGGTCCGTCCGAACCGCACGGGTCGCTGCCTTTGGACGCCCGTCAAAACGAGTCAACATCTGTTTGTTATTTCGACTGTGTAGTCCAAGTATTGCCTTGGGTCCATTACAATTTTCTTCAAAAAGCGAACGTGGCCTCGCCATCCTTTCCCCGGTTCCCCTTGAAAGAGAAATCACCAAACGGCTTGCCACTCCGGGTAAAATATTACATGGAGGCAGCGGGTGTCATAGCTCAGGGTCACCCGGGCCCGCGATGCGTAATGAGCGCTGTGGTCGGCGCGGAGGCCGGGAACTGTTCCCAGTCCTTCCCAGCCATTCGGACGTGGCGGCGGCGATGGGCTGAGACTGGTTTTAATTTCACTTTCTTGGAAAACAGAGACGACTACGTACCAGATGCTTGTCTCACTTCAGGTGACCCTCGGGCTAAATCACAGCGAGACTTCAAAGAATCCGCTGCGATCGCCTCGCAGACAGCTTCCGCGCGTGATGATGATCAGAAAGAGAAGCAGGTACGTATTGATCGCTATCGACAGAGATCTTGGAAACCATGCTGGGAGTTAGGGATTTTTGAAAGGCGTTTCAAGCTGTGATTGGTTAGAGAAATGAGATCAATTAGATTACGGCACCTAATAGTTTCACTGTTGTTATTTTTCCTTCCCTTCCCTTCCTTCCTTCCTTCCTTCCTTCCTTCCTTCCTTCCTTCCCTCCTACTGGGGATGTGCCCACAACCAAGGTACATGCCTTTGACCAGAATCAAACCTGGGACCTTTCAGTCCACAGGCTGATGCTCTATCCACTAAGTCAAACCTATTACTTTCTTTCTTCCTTTCTTTCTTTCTCTCTTTCTTTCCCTCTCTCTTTCTTCCTTCCTTCCTTTCTTGATTTTTTTATTTGAGTGATGGGGGGAGGGGGATGCGCCCTCCAGGGTGATGGGAGTGGAGCCAACCTGAACATCTCGAAGGCCTCAGAAGGAAGGAGGCGGGGAGATCATAGATGGCAGGAGGAGCAGCTCCGTGGCCCATCGCATCCACGGGGAATCCGGGCACGCGCCGTCCAGCAGAGCCAGGCTCGCCCTCTCTGGAGCTTTGTGTTTCGGCTCTAGGTTTCCACCTGATTTGTGGCCTTCACCACTCCCACTTGGACGCTCAGCGGGTCCAGGGAAGCGGTTTGGGGTTGTGTTACGGGCGATCGAGGAGAAAAGACAGCGTCGCGGAGGCGCACTCCTGTCTTTGCTTTGAAAAGTCATTTCGGAGAAACTCAATCCAGTTCAGACGCAAGGACGGTAATTGGCGTTGATCGGTAAATCATCGGGCAGGGTTCTGCTCTTGCTCAACCCCCCCCCCCCCTTCTTGTCAAGAGTGAGTGATGGCAGCGGAGCTGGGCGGGTGATGAATCCCTGCGTGGCCTCCTCGGGTGGGACAGGTTGCTGTTCTCCGTCACGTTTGCTCTCTCTGCCAAGGTGGGAGTTGGCTTTCCACGCGTCAGGAGTGGTGAGGTCGTCTCTCACCGATTTATTCGTATTTCTGTTGTGCACGGCCACCCAGATCATCTCCGGGTAGATGACGGCCTGGTAAGAGCTGGCATTCCACAGTCTGGCTTTTATTTCACCCCTCCCCCTCCCCCAGTGACTTTCCGCGGCCACAACATACATGATCTGTGCCGAACACTTCAGGGGGATAGAAATGAAAGCCTCTTCAAGGCTCTGTCCCTCTCTCCGCTTCGTCAAAATCCAGAGGAGACCTGGGAATTCTTTAAAGCGGAAAAGAAAAAGGGGGTTTTAGAAACACAACCTAACTTTTTTTGTGGGGGGAGGAGGATTTAATCTTCACCCCAGGATATTTTCCCATCGATTTTTTTTTTAGGGAGAATGGAAGAGAGAGGGGAAGACAGGGAGAAACATCGATGTGAGAGAAATACATCGATGGGTTGCCTCCTGCACGCACTCCAACCAGGGCCCTGGGCGGGGGAGGAGCCTGTAACCGAGGTTCATGCCGTTGACCGGAATCGAACCCGGGACCCTTCAGTAGAGCAGGCCAATGCTCTATCCACTGAGCCACACCGGCTAGGACACAACCTACCATTTTTATACAGTATTTCTCTCGTGTTCCAACGTGGGGCTCTATTTCCAGGTCGTCTTCTCTGTGAACGTTTATAGTTAGTTCTTCAGTGAATATAATGTGATCGTTCATCTAAGCGCGCCCCGAAGCGGGGAGTATAGACAGTTCTGGCTTCTGAGTAATTTCTCGCCCGCACCTGCAGACCAGTGCAGAGTTTCAGGTGGTTTCAGACATAACGGACTTGACTTGGGGGTCGGGAGACACCCGCTCTAGGAAGTTCTTTGACTCAGCTATCGCTTCGAACAATGTCGGGGATATATCCCATTCACTAGGTCAGTGGTCGGCAAACTGCGGCTCGGCCAACCGCGGCTCGCGAGCCACATGCGGCTGTTTGGCCCCTTGAGTGTGGCTCTTCCACAAAATACCGGCTCTTCCACAAAATACCGACTTCTGCGCATGGGCCACGAAATTTCAATCGCACTGTACGTCAGTACTTCATTGACACTTCCAAAAATACTGAATATTGAAAACTTCCTAAGCAAATACTCTCAAGGTTTTATTATTATTATTATTTACATAACTAATTCACTTCATTGTACTGATGGGGTAGTCATAATAATCTGGCCGGTCATAATAATCTGGCCACTCAGTATATATATATATATATATAGAGAGAGAGAGAGAGAGAGAGAGAGTCCCCCCAAAATATGTACACACTTTAACAGCTGATAGCTCAATTAATGTTTTGTTCTTTTCAGATTTAAGCCACTGGAATTAATAATTATTCAGAGCATATATACATTTTGGGGGGACAGCCCTTATCTACATAAAATACCACCCCAAACTTGATCAATTTTATGGGGATTTTCGGAAAGGATGCCTAAACACTATCTATCTATAGGAAGGTTTTTGAAATTGGTCTTGAGACTATTTTGTTGCAGTTTTGAAGGAAAACTATTTCAACAGAAGTGTCCTTGATTGCCGTATTTTCGCCTGTCTTTATTCGATTTTTCCAATGCTTATTTAAGTGCATTTTGTAGAGTGAAGCAGTTTGGGGGGAAATGAAGTAAAAGAACAGACTGGCATGACTTAGTCTTCATAACAATTCCGTTCCTGCGAATGGAAGTCTGGTTTCTAGAGCGCTGTGATTGGAATAACATGTCATACCCCAAACACTTCAAATTCCACCGGGCGAAACGAGATCTGTGGCCATACTTTGTCCTCCTCGGGCAACACTTTCCTGGTAAGCGCTTGGTTCCTTAAATCCTCTAAGTCCTTAGGCCTTTTCTAGTAAAATAATAGTATCTTTTCCCCATTGCTTTCACCTCTTTAATAATGAATTGTTATCCTTTGGAAAAAAATGATCTCTCTTCAAGCGATTGGCGCTGCTGAGGGTACCGGGCGCATTCGTCTAAGATTGTCGGAGGGAAATTGAAAACAGCCCAGCTTTTCGCCGCAAATATTCGCTGGGAAGCAGCCGTGGCCACACTTCTCTCACAGTGGTGTTGCTGCGGGTTCTTTGCCAGCCCATCCTACGGGTCGGGATCCCAAGGCTATATTTTTAAAAAGATATTTTTTTTATTGATTTCAGAGAGGAAGGGAGAGGGAGAGACAGATAGAAATATCCATGATGAGAGAGAATCATGGATCGGCTGCCTCCTGCACGCCCACACTGGGGATCGAGCTCGCAACCCGGGCCTGTGCCCTGACTGGGAATCGAACCGTGACCTCCTGGTTCCTAGGTCAACTCTCAACCCCTGAGCCACACCACCGGTCGAGCAGGATCCTGAGGCTATTAATTTGGCAGCAGAAACCCAGCGGAAGAAACAATAGTTTGTTAGTTCCCACGGCTCCTCCTAGACAGGAAGAGAACACCTGGAACCAAGTGCTGTTTTTGTCTTGTTGGTCCAGGCCTCGCCCTCTGCCCCAGGTGCCCTGCAATTTCAGTCTACACCCGCCCGAGCTCCCTCCTCCCCTGGCTCCATCCCTGCGTCCTCATAGCTTCTTCCAACACATTCCTCAGAATCCCATGTGTCTGTGCCCCGGGGTGCCCCACCTTTCAGCCGCAAACTCTAAGCCAGCGGTTCTCAACCTGTGGGTCTCGACCCCTTTGGGGGTCGAACGACCCTTTCACAGGGGTCGCTTAAGACCATCGGAAAACACATATACAATTATATTGTTTTTTTGGGATGAATCACTATGCTTTAATGATGTTCAATTTGTAACAATGAAATTGGGGGCCACCACAACAGGAGGAACTGTATGAAAGGGTCGCGGCATGAGGAAGGTTGAGAACCGCTGCAAAAGCAGATCCCCATGACAGGCAGACCTGGACCCTCTCAGCCACCCAAGACTTGAACTTGACTTGTGACCCTGGTGTATATCCCCATTCTTCTTGATTCTCATTTGTTCCACTCCTGCCCCCGCCCCATCCGACTCCCCAACACACTCCTGGGAATGGTCGCATCGGCCTGCAATCTGCAAAGAGCCGGCCGCTGGATGTGCAGACCCCAGAGTGGGATTTGTTAGAGAGTTTCAGGCTGCTGCTCTCTGAAGCTCAGATGCTGCCCTGGGCCGGGGTTATAGATGATGCCCACCCGGCTTGTTAGCCGGGAAGCGGCAAGGCGCCCACACTCATTCGTTTGCACTTGAACTTCTCCGGCTGCCATCATCCTCCATTACAGTGACACCCGTACAGCACAACCCGGCATTGCTGTTCTCCCAGCTTCGAAATGACGCCATTAAACACCCCTTCGGAAGGGATCCGAGGGAACCGCGAGAAATTTATGAGGCTCCGGCCGGCTGTGGACCCCGTGGCCTTCCATCAGAGTTGGGCCAAGCGAGCCAGCGGGATCAATAGTTATTATGAGAGGTGGACGGGCCAACCAGGCAGATGATTCCAGAAGGTTTCTCTCCCGGGCCGGCCGCACTAAAAACAAATTCGTTCTCACGCCAGCGACCTCGGCGGGGGCTTTCAGACGGTGAGTGGGTTGATGGATCCCACTATGGAGAGCAATCGGGCTGCCCGCCTGGTGCTGTAAAAGGAATTGTGTTTCTGGTCTCCAGGTGACTTCTCTCGCTCGTTCTAATTGCATTTGGCAGGGATTGCCTGTGCCGTCCGCTGGGAAGCCGCCTCTGCCTGCAGCTCTGGCCCGGGGAAGAATTTCAACAATTCCCAGGAATTCCAGACAAAAACTGTGCTCTAAAATATATAAATCCACCATGCGTCAGTGACTGTGCATGCATGGCCTTGCTGTTTAGTCTTATTGCTGCATATTCTGAAAGGCCCCGGGCTAGAAAATGATAGTTTTCACAGGAAATGTGTTTATAGAAAAGGACATCGGGTCACCGAGAATGAAGGAGAGACTCTGTTGGGGTGTCTTTTTTCATGAGAAAGAGAGGGGAGAGGGGATGGAATATTTTAGCCCATTTCCACCCCCCTCCCAACTTCA